GTCCATCATAGAACGCCTGGCATTTGAACGTCGGACTTTCTATGCCAAATGCCTGGTGTCCAAACGCTCGACGTCCCCATCCAAACACCCGGCGTTTGGACCAAGGACCTCATCATCGGGATGTTACAGAGAGGTTTCCATAACGATAAAAGTTTGTAGAAAAGGAGAATGCAGGTGTGACAGAAGCGATGCAAAGGAACATAAATCGATGACCTTGGGATTTTGAGCATGAACCTACCGATTAATCATTTCATTCTGAATCATAATCCTCTTGAAGCTCCTCCAGTTTATGCTCGTGCTGTTGTCAGTTGTTCTAATCGCAACATTGTTCGAGGTACCCATTCCTCTCTTTAATAATCACCACTATTTTGTATCATCTATATGGATGTATTAATTAAATTGCTCTTCCAAAATGTCAATTATTGTTAATTTACCATTCCGTATGGATATATTGTTAAAATTTTCTATTTTTAGTTTACTATGCAGATGAGGAACTAAATTAGTAATGATCAAGCAAGGTAATCCATATATCCCAATCTCTTTCATTTACTATGATTTCACCATATGGTCGTGTTTTAACTGTTTTTAGAGCAATTTTGGTCAAGTATTATGAATGGAGACCAAACTGCACAAAGTAGATGCAGAGATAGATAGAACATCATTAAAGTTTAGTGTAAGATTTGTATCTGGCTCTTGTGTAGATTTGTATGTGAACACTTTTCTCCAGTTGCATTGATGCTGTCAAGATTCTTAGATCTAAACAACTAAATGAAACATTGAAGAATGAGTTCATCTATTAATTTTCCATGCTCAAGGTGATTTTACTTTATTTCCTTTTTGTCATGAAATCTTCAATCTGATTATTATTAACTTTTGGTTTATCACAATTGTACAATAGTTGAAGTTTATTTTCATGGAAGAATATTTCACAAGGTCTGCGACATTGAAGCCAACAAAAAACAACAATAGTTGAATGAATTCATTGTGGTTACATACTAATCAATTATGTCTTGTATCCAGATTTTGTTGCTATAATTTTGTAATTTTTTTATGTACAATGTTGTTATAAAAAGAAATTAAAGTAGATGTTTATACTAAACAAATCAAGAAAAGCAACATACTTTTATTTTTTTTGTTTATAATCACATTGTTATTTATATATATTAAATTTATAGCTTCATGATCATAGAATGCGTGCTATTTGTTATGCAAAAAATCTTGAAAGACATTAAGTATGTATGTTTGTTTCTTGAGACAACATAAGCATAATATGATTATTTTTCATCATTTAGCACACAATCAGTCAGAACTATAATCAAACAATATGGTTTCAGTCAGATGTGGACTCAATCAGAACTTCTAACCCAGTCAGCTCTAACTCGGTTAAAAACTATCAAACGACCATTTAGACTTTGTTTTCTAGTGCCTAACTTTCTTTCTTTATAAATTCCTTTACAAACTGGTTCATGCGGAAGTTCTCTTACATGTCCATCAATCTAGTTCAACACCTGTGGACACCAGTGGATGCAACTTCAAACAAAAACCTTTTTCATATATAAATATATAATATATAATATAGATCAAGGTTCTAAATAACGTGAGGCGTGGCTTGGCGGCAAAGTAAAAGTTAAGTTATGACAAGCCTTGGCGAGTAATGTCGTTTTTCAAGGCGTGACTATTTTCTATATATTACAAGAGATAAATCATATAATTATTGTTTTTTATCAAGTACATCAAGTGTTTAGAAGTGTTATATTAGTATTTAATATAAAAAAGTTAACAAAAACTCAATTATTTGAAAAAAACTCGCGTCATATCGCGATAAGGCGCGCCTTGACACGTTATTTGGGCGCCACGCTTAACAAACCCGCCTTGGACGTTTTCGTAACGGCTACACCACGCCTCACGCCATGGCGCGCCTTGAGGCGCGCCATGGCGCGTTTTTTAGAACCATGATATAGATACATACTCACAACTCAAAAAAAAAAAAACCTTTTTAGATTAGATGGAAATCGCCATTTAAATTTGGATAAAACTGATTGAAGTTTCCAAGAATATTCCTATCAAAAAGAATTTATATTAATAAAGTATCTTGCAAAAGCGAAGTAATAAGTACACTAGCGTGTGATTTGATTCTATCATCAAATAAAATCCAACTATTTTGTCTTGTTTTATGAACGGCGACTACGCAATATCTCCCAATTTGTTTAAAGAACATGAAACAAACATTCTTGCCAAAACAGTACAAAGAAGCTTCCTAGCTCATCATCTATGTTAGAAAGAAGCTTCCTTTTTACAATAACGATTCACAAGCGACATGGTTACTAACTTTTCAAGGCAACATTCTGTTTTAATGATTTTAAGCGTACTTATTTTTGTAATGTTTTGTTTTATATTAACGAATTCATTTCATGTTTTAAGGGTATGTTTGAGAATCTAAATAAACGTTATAATATAAATATTATGTTAAATGTTTCTTGTATCGATACCATAATGTAAACTCTTTTTATTTTGCATTATTACGGTTTAGCTCTTCGATTTAAGAATTCAACCTACTTGTTGGTTGTTTCCAGTTACAAAGAGTTAATCAACAATGGGTACCAAAAATATATGTAAAAATAATACGAAATTATAAATATATTATATTTTTTTAACCATTTACTTGCATTTTAAACATGAGAGTCGATCCCTACGTAACAACTTTTTGTTATAAAAAACAATGTATATTTTATATGGTTTTTTTAAAGGGTGCATTTTCATATATTCACATATTCTAGCGAATTGCTAGAAATATTAAAAAAAACTTCAAAAATTACAAAGGGGAATCAAGCCAAGCATTTCACATTACATCGGAATTGGAAGCTCGGTTTTTAAGCCAAGAAAACAAACTTAACACAATCCTATCAAATAACGAGTTTTTCCTAATTTTACTCCCATCAAACACTACCGAATTCATGTACCTCCATAACATCCAACACGTAGCTAACACAACCACTTCCAATCGTATACATTTTGATATCACCAACCTTTGATCATCCACCCACTGACATCCACTCAATGATCGATATATACATAGGGAATGTTATCACCATCTTGCAACCAGGGACCACACCGCCACAACTACTTCACAGAGAAAAAATAGATGTTCCGTTGATTCCACCCCAACCCACACACCAGACATAATATACTACTCAATTCCAACCCTTTTTTTTCTGACAAATTGAACCGAGTAGGTCAGCCGATGAAGAGCAAGACACCAACCAAAAATTCTTATTTTTTTAGGTAATACTTTACACCATCTAGTAGTTTGAGAATGACCCAATAATAAACATCATCTATGTGTCTCCTGGTTTGATTTACTGTGAACTCATCAAATTATAATTTATATGGTTTTACAATATGCAAATTGTCTAATCTTTTAAATCATAAATTGTTATGTATGTTAAAAACTTATTGTTTTCAGATCACTTCCCTTTAAATATTCATTACCAATAGGACCGACCCTGAGCACATGCCAGGTGTGCGACCGCACAAGGCCGTGTCGTCAGGGACCTGAATTTCAATCCGTCAGTAATCCGTCATAAGCCATCACTAATCCGTTAATCCGTCACTAATTTGTCCCAATCTGTTGCTAATCTGAAATTAGATGTCCATTTTTTTATTTTCGAACAGAGCCTTAAAAATTAACGAAACAGTTCTAATCCCAACCCATAGACTCCAATCGAGGCACTACTTATATAGTAAGAGTATAGTCTTGATTAGCTCCAATAGTCACATAAATAATGATGCACTAAATACGATTACATAATAATATGTATATTTTTAATAGATTAAATTAAAAGATAGTATAAAATTGATCAATATCTTTTGGGAAATCTCCAGAAAAGTCCTAAAATTTTACCTTAATTTACGAAAAAGTCCCAAACTAAAATTTGTTTACCAAAAAGCATGAATTACTGGTAAAAATGCCGATTTGACCCCTTTTTTCCGGTTTACCGGTTTTATTACTTACATATTTCAATAAAGTCCCATTATTTTACCTTAATTTGCGAATAAGTCCCAACATAAAAATTTACTGATGATTTGGCTATTTTCTTCATGTAACATACATTTTATCGGTTTCATTGCTGACTTAGACACCTAGTCATTAAGTTAGCTAACAAGATGAATACGATTGGTTATATAATGTCCCATTGACTGAAAATTTTGATATTCATCTCATCGACTCATTATGGCTATGTATCTATGTCAGCAATAAAACCAATAAAATGTGTGTTTCCAAGAAAAAAGGGCAAAAAATGAGTTGATGTCTGATGAGATGGATATATTGGGTTACATAATATTAGATAGACAAATTTGATATTTCTTATTAAGTCAAAATAACGCAGTTGTTGTTAGTTTATGTAATTATTGTAGTCGTCGTTGGATGCATTTTATGTTCCAAAAAGATATACAATACATCAGGATATCAAGTTTTATGCTAAACATAGCATTATTTAACTAAACATATCCATCTCATCATCTCATTTAATGACTAGGCGTTCGGGTCAGCAATGAAACCGGTAAAATGTATGTTACATAGAGCAAATAGTCAAATTATCAGTAAAGTTTATTTTTGGACTTATTCGCAAATTAGGGTAAAATAATGAGACTTTAGTGAAACAGGTAAGTAATAAAACCGGTAAACCGGAAAAAATGGGTCAAATCGCCATTTTTACCGGTAATTCATGTTTTTTCGTAAACAAAATTTAATTTGAGACTTTTTCGTAAATTAGGATAAAATTTTAGGAATTTTATGGAGATTTCTCATATCTTTTAGGTATAAATTTTCAATTTTCAATTCAGAAACTTAAATTAACTCATTTTTATATTAATATGTTGGAATTACACTCTTTCAAAATAGTGTGATACATGTTTGGGTCACAGGGTAACCACACGCGTTAGAAGAATGACCACATTTCACACAGGAGGTTTCTTTGAAACAATTAAACCTTATTTCATGGAGATTTACATTACATTCACAAATCCAAAAATATACTCTTTTTGGCGCTTCTTCAGTTCAGCTGCATTTCCTCGAACCTGCGTTTTTATCCTTTCCGACATCCGATGACGAGTGAGAAGCTCTATAAATCCCGCAGGTTGCCTCGACGATTGTCATTCTTCATCTTCTTAAAGGCTTCTGATTTCATTCATCGGTGAACCTCTTTTTCTTCTTCGTTTTTGATTATCTACTTCTGTATGTCGTAATGCAAATGATTCTTCTCCATCTTCTTTCTCCAAACCTCTCAATTCAGCTTTTCGTGAAGCTTTTTTTGTTGATTATCGATTTCTTATTTTGTAGCCAGGCTCAAAATCATCGCAAAACCAGCAAAACGACAGACATCTACCGTAATTTGACAAGGTATGTGTTCATGGCTGTGATTTTTTCCGTAACCTGAATCCAAATTTTGTTTGAACGTTTTCGAATGTATTCAATTCGGCGATTTTTTAACCTAATCTGGATTTAGGTTGAGTAGTAGGTATGATTTATCGTGATGAACAATTGTTCTGTTCATTGTTCATATGCTTATTGCATCAATTGTTAACATTGAAAGGAAAGTAATGAGAAATTTGATATAATTCTAGTTGCTGTAGTATTTTTGTAAGCTCCGGCAAGCATTAGCTGTTCATACAGAGGAGCAGATATCCGTAAACGGCGTCGTACCACTGGAGATTAAGTTGACTGCTACTTTCTTCGTTTTTTTTTTTTTTTTTTTTTTTTTTCCTAATTAAAAAGTTGCATCCTCTAACTTTTGGGAAAGCTATGCTTCCAAAATGCGAATTCATAATCAGATAATGATTAATGATAGATCGTTTTGCATAAATCAGTATAGTGGTTTTGAAAAGATACCGTGCTAATAAAGTTTTGTTATTGTGAAGTTAGAAATGTGTTACAATATTATAAAATTTTGTTTTTCAAAGGCTCGATACCTCAAGATAGATTCTTCATTCTTCCATTATTGACACTAGAATATTCATATAACTAATAACTATTCATAAAATATTTGTTATTAATATTTTGTAATATTTGTTGTTGATTGATAACAGATTAATCTGAAAAACTGTTATTTTTTATTTTAAATCAATAATAAAAGATTTAAAAATTAAATAGAAATTTTGATTTAATGTTTATTTTAAATATTGTTATTGATGAATTAATTTAGAAGTTTTTATTAGACTACTTTTAGTTTGGATCAAAAATATCAAAACTGTTTGTATGGGAATGTTAATTTTTAGTTTTATTTTACTATTTTTTTAGAACGATTTGAGATTGAACCCGAGGCCTCTTTATTAGAAACACCTTATTCGACACCTTGTTAATGAGCTAGCTCCAACTTGTTACTATTAATTATTATTACTTAATTAATTTTAAAACTATTAATTATTATTAAAAAGTTATATAAAACTAAAGTTTAGGTACAAAGTTTTATTTACTTTGCATTTATCTCATTTTAATTAACCAATTTTGATTTATTATTATTATATATATATTAAAGTTATGAAGAAAATGAATAGTAAACTTGTCATTTTCTTGGCAGAATTTGTCCCTGTATTATTACTGGGCTTCAAAGTTAGGAATAATAATTTTAGATGTTTTTTAGCAACTTTGCTCCTCATTCTTTAACCATTTTGACACTTTTGGTCCTTGCAACCAATATTTTTACACTTTTTAGGAACCTTTTAATATTTAAAGTTTGGCCACAAAACTTTAACGGTTTGACAACTTTGATCCCTTTTCTAAAAAGTTGCAAATTCCTACCCCTTTAATTCTTTAGTCATTTTGACACTTCTGGTCCTTGTAGTCAAAACTTTTACATTTTTTCATAAAAACTGGATTTTTTTGGCAACTTTGCTCCTCATTCTTTAACCATTTTAACACTTTTGGTCCTTACAATCAATATTTTTACACTTTTTAGGAACCTTTTAATCTTTAAAGTTTGGCCACAAAACTTTAACGGTTTGACAACTTTGATCCCTTTTCTAAAAAGTTGCTAATTCCTACCCCTTTAATTCTTTAGCCATTTTGACACTTCTGGTCCTTGCAGTCAAAACTTTTACATTTTTTCATAAAAACATGAAAAAAACGGTCCGGGGCAAAGTCCGGGCTTTTCATCCTTGCACTTTCTACGTCTGTCATATTTATCGATTCGCAAACAACATTGAAAGCTTCTGGCCCCCGCGTAGTAGGGGTAACCTTTCTAGTTGTTATAATGAATTTGAAAGTCATGGGGTTTCATGATACAACTAACCTGACCAATTTTATAGTAGATATATAGATATCTTTTCAATTCCAATAAAAAAACTCACATTTTGGGATCTAATGGAAGGAACGGCCACCATAAACTCTAGAATTGTTAAAAAAAAGTATTTATGGAAACAATAAAGTGACAAGTACAAATAAATAATCTTAAAGAAAACAAAGGTACTTAAATTTTATAGATTTTGACATGGTCAAATGTATATAATAACAACATTCTGTAAAAAATTTTATGATGGATTGTCACATTAATATTTCATTTTTTATACAATTTTACTATTTAATTTGTATAGTACAATAGTGCATTGAATTTCTGTACAACTTTTCCCATTGAACAGTTTAGTGGCCACCGAACCTCAGATTCATTTGAATGTCAACTTGACATCTCACTATGGTTGAGTTTAATCTATTAAATGTCAACTAGACATTCTACTTTATTAACTATTCCATTAAACCATACACTGTGGATGCTATTAGTTAGAGAAAAGACAAGTGTCTTGTAACAATCATATTCTTCATTCGTATGGCATGATATGTTTTCAGGGCGATAAGCACTCGGAAAACAAGGCGTAGTTCCAATGGGTGAAGCAAATGGCATAATCCACGACGATCCACCACCGCAACCACCACCGCTACCTCAATCACGTTTCAATCTTCCTTGTCAAGATTTACTTGCTGGTAACTATACCATCTTATAATTTCAAACTTATACTAATTTTGTTGGGAATCTTTGAGGCCATTTTTGAAATATACACAGATAACAGACGCAGGGACTACATCAATATATGCGTTCCTCTATGCGAAGCATTAACTAAAGCAGACTGGCAAACCGCAAAACACATCATCGGTAGCCCTGAATACCTCTTACGTTACAGCATCAATGAAAACTGCGAAACACCACTTCACGTTGCAGCATCAGCTCAAAGCAACACTGACAGCATCGAATTCGTGCAATATCTTGTGGGTAAAATGAGTGAGGCCGACTTGCAACTGCAGAATAGAAGTGGAAACACTGCCCTTTCTTTGGCAGCTATATCTGGAAATGTTGAAATTGCTAAAATTATGGTGGGGAGTAACAGTAATTTGCCTACCATCCCTAATGGCGAACAAATGATGCCGCTTTATATCGCTGTGTTATTTGGAAACATAGAAATGGTGGATTATCTCTATGAAGAGTCTCTTCAAATGAATGCCTCTGGTTGGACACCTAAGAATAGGAGTTGGGTTTTCTTGAAGTCCATTGAGATGGATTTCTTCGGTACGTACATATTTTAATTACTTGAAAGCTTTCGTTTCTCATTATTACATGCTAATAACTTTTGCACATACATTTTATCTATTAACTTATTCTTTTGTAGATTTCGCTCTGAAAATATTGGAGCACCACCCACTACTTGCTCAAAGTGGGGAAGCTTTATGTGCTTTGGCTCGAAAGCCTTCTGCATTTGATGAAATAAAACCACATTACATCAGAAGCGTCGTGAATTCAAGTATCTTTTCGCTTTCTACATTTAATTTGTTATAATTAAAATTGGCTTGTGTTTGGTTCTTAATTGTTATTTCTATTTTTGCAGCCTTCCATTTGAAGGTGGAACCAGTTGACAATAAAGCCGTGGAGTTACTAATAAAGATTTGGACAAGTATTGAGGAAAAGCCCAAAACTGAAATAGACAGAATACTCAGAGGCCCAATAGTTCTGGTAGATGGGAAACAAACATACCCCTCTCGAGTACTTTTTGTTGCTGCAGAAACAGGAAATACTAGGTTTTTGGTTGAGCTCATACGTCGATATCCTGATCTTATATGGAAGCAAAATGAAAACAATCAAAGTATTTTTCATGTTGCTGTTTCTCATCGTCATGAGGGTATATATAATTTGTTGTATGAGATCGGATCCATGAAGGCTTTGATAATTCCAGTCAAAGATCTAGAAGGGAATAATATGTTACATTTGGTTGGAAATAACACTCAGAAAACCCGACTTCGACATGTGTCAGGGGCAGCTTTCCAGTTGCAACATAAATTATTATGGTTCAAGGTATATATTTTATATTTCTCTCAAATATTATCCATGTTAATTTATTACTTGTTTACATTCACCCTATTGTATGATAATCTCCTATATATGTTTGTGTTGTAGGAAGTGGAGTCTATGGTACCTCCTCTTTACAAAGAAAAGAAGAACAAAAGTGGCTTAACACCATATGAACTATTCACTGAAAACCACAAACCTTTAGTAACCGAAGGTGAGAAATGGATGAAAGGAACCGCTAGTAAATGCATGGTGGCTGCCGCCCTAATAGCCACCGTAGTATTTGCAGTCGCTTACACAATTCCCGGTGGCTACGACCAAAAAACCGGCTTTCCTATGTTTCTTCACAACGGTCCATTCCTAGTATTTGTCATCTTGGATGCTATTTCCTTAATCTTGTCTTCCACTTCAATCCTTGTGTTTTTATCCATCCTCACGTCTCGTTATGCTCAGGAGGATTTCCTTGAATCATTACCCAAAAAGCTTTTGGTGGGTTTATCAATGCTTTTTCTTTCCATAGTCACCATGATGTTTTCTTTTAGTGTTAGTTTCTTTGTGATATATCGTCACAAGTTTATTGTCATTGCAATCTTCATTAGTGTGGTTGCGCTTATACCTATTGTTTCGTATGCTCAACTACAATATCCTCTTGTGAAAGACGTGTTTAGTTCAACGTATGGGTCTAGGTATCTCTTTAAGCCCAAGAAACCAGTGCTTTATTATCAAAATCCAAGGGTCTAGATGTCTAGTAGTAGTAGTTGTTATTATTGTTGTGTGTTTGGTTTGGTTTGGTTTGATAAAGATTTTGTTTTAAGAACATGTATTGAAACTTATTTTTTATTATTAAAGTTTATAGTCGATTCTTTCATGTAAAGTATATGTATCTCACTTTATGTAGTTTTGTTCTTTTATTCATGAATATTCTTTGTATCTCTTTTTAGAAGTATTGAAATTTGGTTTATCTTTTTCTTTTTAAACCATCTTCTCATAACATACACGTAAGCATCATAATTTAACATTTAACAAATTACACATAGAAACCATATTTAAAAGTATTGTATTTCATAATTGAATAAACTAAGTGCTAATTTGTATTTCAAAATTCGTATTGATAATACTCATTATTATTATTTTTGTATATGTTATAAAAAGTAATAAATTAAATATATGTGTAAAACTTTTTGTAATATATAGTTAGTTTGTAATTTATGATACTTAACATTAAATATTTTAAAAAATAATAATAAAACCCCTGTGTACAAGTCCAGACACTATCACACCACTATTTCCGCTCTAACCAATTGCCAAGTGCCAACAATACCATTACCCTACATTTTTGCCATAACTATACTAATGATTTAATGTTATCAATACCCCTAAATGTTGTGGTATTTTTTTTTTTAAATTTACATTAGAAATTAAAATAAAAGAGAATCATAAAAATATTTACATTGGTGGTGAGAATTGGGAAACTGTGACCTCTAATGGAATTTGGGTACAATAATTGGGCCAAAACAACAAAACAAATAAGGATCATAGACTATTGAAAGTTCAAGCATTATCATTTATTCATTAATCGTAGACTTGTTCAAAAGCCCACGAGGCTTGTTCATTAAAAAAGTAATGCAAAAATTAAACATGACTATTATTATTTTTATTTTTGAACGGTGAAAATTTTATTAAAAACTAACAAGAAGCTAGAAAAAACCATTATAACAAAGCAGTAGCAAAAGAAGGACTATGCAACCAAGAAGTCCAACTTATTCTACCTTTGCTACTTCTATTGGAAATCCAAAAAAACGCCATATGAACAATATCATCAAAAATACCAGACTTCCTAGGAAGAATCGTTCCAAAAACAATAGAGTTACGAAAATTCCACAAACTTTATAAAGCTGTAAAAATTACAACTTCAAACGTTTTTCATTGTCCGCCCCTCAAAGAAATCGAATCTAACCAAGAAAAAATAGACTGCACCGAAACATTATCTAGAATCTGGATATCCAACCATATGACAATACGAGTCCAAACGCCTACAAGCTCTTTACAGGAAGCGAAAAGATGATCAACTAATTCAACCGTAAGAGAGCAAACATGACACATAATCGAATCCACCATAATACCTCTATGAGAAAGTCTCTCTCTAGTAGGAATACTCTGTAACCGAATCCTCCATGCTAGAATATTAATTTTGATGAGAATCCAATTATTCCATCTGGTTTCACTACCACCAGAAAACAACAACAACAGATCTCCATCTAAATAAGCTCTAGCAGAAGAGACAGAAAAATTATCTGACACATCTAGGAGCCAACCCAATCTATCCGGGTTCAAACTCAGTTGAAAGTGTTGGATTAGGTGTCTAAGCCTATAACTATATTTGGTATGTACTTGACCCGATAGTAGCATGGTCCTTTTGGGTTGCCTTCACCAAAGCAACTTGACTGGATGAATGATGGAGAAAGAGGTTAAATTATGATTTATTAATATATTATAGGAATAATATATTAAAAGAGAAATCATATTATTTAATTAATATTGGTCAAAAATTATTAATTTAGTGATCAAAAGAGATTAATTAATTTAAGGGACTGATATTGTAATTATAATATGTGACAACCGTCACTTTATGGTCAAGTCAAAGTCAAATAAAGTCAACCAGTCAAACCAGTCAACTCAATTAACCCTTGTATATTAGAGTTTACATTATGTTTACTATTGTACAACACACCATTCTAATGCAAAGTATCACTTTGAGTTTTCACGTGTTCAGAAAATCTAAACCCTAATCAGGATAAGTGATGGAACTACTCGATAAAACATTATTACATACCCTTTGGGGGCGTATAACACTCATAACGAGGCTTGATGGGGTCTACAAACCTTGCATTTCGAAGCTAAACACTGGCAAAGGTGACAAACAAAGTCTCTCTCAATCTCTCTCGCTATCTCTCTCTCTCTCTCTCTCTCTCCCAAATCTCTCCCAAATCTCTCTCGAAATCTCTTTCAACTTTTCATGAACTCTCGGGGCATCCCGACCCTTAATTTAGTCAAAACCGCTCGAAACGGAAAGATTTCTCGAAAAACAGCCATGTAGGGCCGAAACCACTCTTAGAACCGAAGCCTCCCTATAAGGACCGAAACCTGCTATGAGGACCGAACCTTGCTATAAGGACCGAAACCTGCTATAAGGACCGAAACCTACCATTAGGACCGAACCCGCTCTTAAGAACCGAACACACTTTCAGTCCGAATCAACCTTCGGCCCTGAATTACCCTTCGGTCCGAAGACCACTTTCGGTTCCTTCCACTTTCGGCCCACCTACCTTCGGGTCTCAAGCTTCTTGGACCGAACCCTCGGTTCTGACCCTCAAAACCTCGCAGCTTCGCTTCTTGATCCCGATTTTCGAGTAGTTTCGCGTTTTAAGCTCGTTTTTCATGATTTTAACGTGGGATTTTCACCCAAACTCATATTTTGACATATAAGACCCTATATATTCATATTTTAATCACATTTTGTGTGAAATCTTTATCTAAGAATAATATCTTTTGTGCAAGATATTCATTTGGAGTGTTGACTTTCCCATAAAGTAATGACACAAGCTACCTCCCATACCCACTCTATGACAACCTCCAGTCAGTATTCACCTCTAGCTATTCAACTATTTGTCCTCTCACACTCTTCTCCAGCAAGTTATCTTGATCAAAGGCTGGACAAATCCTTATCTCTCCTCCCAAAATATTCATTCTTCTCACCAAAAAAAAATCAAACCCATTTCTCTCTCACTTTCTCTCTCTAAACTCGAAATTTAAAGGCTGTTCTTGAGCATTCTCCTTCAGTTTTGGTAAGTATCTTCATCCTACACTTGAATACTCTACACTCCTTCACTCAAATCATGAATCTCTTACATAAATATCGTCATATTTGTGCTTAGGATCTTCAAATCTTCAAGCATCTTTCAAGTGTTCTTGACTTGGAAACTTCTTTTCTTCTACATCCATCCTAAAAAATCACTCAATCTGAGTTCATACCCCTACATTTTCATGTTTTCTTCAAGTTTTAGGGGGAGAATACAAGTTAAAACACCAAAAACTTAACTAAACTCAAACATCAGCTTTCAATAGGAAAGTTTAGTTCCATTCACGGACTATTTTGAACATCTTAAACTTAATATCTTTCAAAACTGTTTCATATGAAAATATTTCAGGTTTATACCTTTCTAATGACTACTTGCACATCTCCATACGAGTTTTCTACAATTTATGGCGATTTTTACAAAACTGCCTATCATTTCAGAAACGAATTCGGACTAGTCTGTGAAAATGAACATTTTCACACAAGTTAGAGACTTCTAAAAATCATAATAAAAATTATGAACAAACTAGATACAATTTTTAAACTCCCAGAGTTTACGGATTCAATTTTCGACATCGTATGATTTTTCTGTGATTTTTCTAAAACAGTGCAGAAAAGTTAAAAACTAGTTAAACAGCTTACAATATTTACTACACTTTGTAACATGTTGAGCAAAGTGTATAACAATAAGTTTCCAAATGATGAATGTATTTCTTGTTAGTTTAACATCATAAACAGAAAATTTGTCATTCATGATAAGGATTTCAAACACTTCTAATAAGTACAATAAAGTATAATAAGTATACTTTATGGATTTTACAATACAAGCATACTACATGAAAAGAGTTTTACTCTCAATACAAATGGCTTTTTAATTTACTACACAATAAACTGTAAAGGGTATAGTTTAGGGATTTCACATTTCAAACATACCGCACGAAAAGGGGTTTCAATTTCACCACAGAAAAGGTTTTACTCGCATACTACACGTAAACTAGTTATCGTAAATTGTGAGACTCGTCTTCATTGTACTCTTAGAGTACGGGTTAAAATTTCTAAATAGTTATAACCAGAGCCTCTTGTAGGGAGAGCGTGATAATTGTGTATAGATCTATATTGGGATTGACAACCCACACCCATGCTGCTTGCAAAAGCCCGATCGGCCGATCAGGGGTGACAAATGTCATTTCGATTCCGACACCTGAAGAACGTCGCAGCAGGCATCTCTGTTATAGTATGGTTATAGCGACTCACATAGGAGGATAACGACACATATAGTTTACGGGAATTTCTACTTTAAAAAGGGGTTTTATCTATTTTGAAACTGCATACAAACACGTTACAAGTACAAAACACACTCTTACACTCGGTCTTGGGATTTAAGACTACATAACATTTTATAAGGAAAATATTGGATTTTCTTGGGTATTCATTAAAATTACAAACACGCTACAAGTACAACTCACACACATACATTCAGTCTTGGGATTTAAGACTACATAACATTTTATAAGGAAAACATTGGATTTTCTTGATGTATACATTACATTTACAAACAAAGGTTTTCAAACTTGGGATACAATACTCGGTTTTAGTTCAAACAGAAACTACTATACATATTGGTAGTAACCAGGGTTTTCAAATTCTACATCCAAAAGCTTATGAACTCACCAACTTAATTGTTGACACTCTTTCGAAATTACTTGTATTCTCAGGAAATCAGTGAAACAAGAAATCAACAGCTTTTGAGGATGGGACGTTAAATCGTCAAACATTTCATTTTGTCATCATAGTGTAATTGATATCGAAACATGTAAACTCATACTATGGTGTAACTTTTTCAATCATATTTATGATGGTTGTATTTACTTTGAGCACTATTATACTCGTTCTTATGATACTATACATGAAGTCCTCCACCCCAGACGTTTCCGCCATCCTTGGTTTGGGGGTGTGACATAAGATAATTGCAAGATGGGTTGTAGACTCCTAAAAGAAGAAGGT